GTGCCAACCTTATATTCATGCACCCGCGGCCGTACACACGCGTGCCCGTGGTTGCTGGCCATCACGAGCGGGATCCAACATCAAGCTTGAAATTTGACCTCGTCATCCTTCTGTGTCTCTGTGGATATGTGATCTTCGTAGATAAAGNGTTTTACCTCGTGATGCTTGAGTGTCTCTTACCCCAATGAAGTAATTACTGTTGCAATAGGTGGGTATGTGAACTGAGTCGGTTTATCAGTCAATCTAGTCTACGTTTAGTTGTGGCGTGCCAACCTTATATTCATGCACCCGCGGCCGTACACACGCGTGCCCGTGGTTGCTGGCCATCACGAGCGGGATCCAACATCAAGCTTGAAATTTGACCTCGTCATCCTTCTGTGTCTCTGTGGATATGTGATCTTCGTAGATAAAGCAATCGAGGTTTCGTTTCATTATGCCAACCTCATGGAAGTGCACCCACGCACCCACCGCCCTACACACGTGTGACTCCGGGTGTTGCCACCATCCACAGGATCCAACAACAAATTTGAACATTGACCTCGTCATTCTTAAGTGTCTCTGTACCAAATGAAGTATTTCCTTTTGTACTAGGTGGGTACGTGAGCATAGTCGATAGAAAAAATCAAGGTTTGGTTGCATCGTGCCAACTTCATGGAAGCGCACCCACGCACCCACCGTCGTCCACACCCGTGACTACGGATGCCACCATCCACGGGATCCAACAACAAATTTGAATTTTGACCTCGTCATGTTTAGGCGTCTCTGGACCAAATGAAGCCATTCTTTTTGCAATAGATGAGCATGTAAGCTGAGTACGTGGGACAACCCTAATGTCGCTGTATTAAGCCGGAGTCATGAAGAGACTGGAGTGTTACTGCTGTTGGGTACGTGATGTCGGTGGCTGTCTTCTGGTGGTACGCTCAGTGTATATTCCGGATATACACTGCCACGCTGCGTAACTGGTTCAAAGAGTCTCGCCGACTTCTAGTGCATGAGTAATCCAGCGTGCCTTCGTCGGAGATTGGACGCCTACGCTCCTGCTTCGCCCTCTGTCGGCGTTGATGTACGGTGAGGACTGCGCAGGTCTCGCCGCTTGCTTGGCAGGATTTCCAGGGGGGGGACACGTTTCCGTTGGAGGCCTCGTTTTCCATATATATATATATTTTTTTTTTATCCGGCCCACCACGAAAAAATGCTGGTCGGCAGGGGGGGGGTGGGATACGTGTCGCCCTCCATCAGCCGCCGCGATCTTGCTTTTACCCCTCAAAACTACAAACCCGGTAAGAGCGCGTGCGTGGAAGAAGGAGTGAGCAGGTGAATACAGCGCCAGCGGAGTAGTGGCCTCAGGATCTCCCACGTCCGGTGTGATCGCATGGGTCTCTGTCGATCGTTGTCTTCTTTGGTTTACCCGATAGCGAATACCAATGCTCTGACCTCTGAGTGAGAGCGGTTTTCGATTGCGGCCAACAAAACACCGCGAGAGCTGCTCTCTCAGCTGTCAACAGCAGAGCCAAAAAAAAGATTAAGAGGGGGAGATATTGGCTGGGTTGCTGCATGCGATAGCCTTACCGCCCATTACGATCCACTCAAGGTCTGATACAACCCTGTGCCTTGGATGGGGCCGGTGATCATGGTTCATATTTTTGTCACCTCTGAGAGAGCCAGACCAAGCAGTTTTTTTTTTTTTCGCACGGCGAGAAGAGAAGTAGAGTAGCACAGTATCCACACACACACCACCGTCCTCCTGGCATACTTTAGACGCTGCAACATCAGTTGGTCGGCGAAGGTGAAGCTCAAGTTTCCAGCAAGTAAAGCGTAGAATTCTCGATGTCGAGAGTAGGCTGTCTCTCATTTTCCGGGAAGCACCCCATATGGTCGCGTCCGCTCGCGCCCCTGTTGCACCCAACCGGCACCTACAGCAGCAACATCAATGCCTCCGGTTGATATCATGTGTGCCCTTCCGATATTTAACTTGTGTTCTATTGGCTTGGATCTCACCACCGCAGCTCCAAATCGCATCTGACAAACCCAGCATAAGAGGTTGGCTACAGCAGTAGCGCACCCAACATCGCAAATCAAGTGGTGCCAGAGTAGCTTCGTTTCATATTCAACACTCCCCGCCGCCGGCATTTTTGAAACCGCATCTACTGCTGTACACCTGTAGCTGCATCAGGCGCAGGTCGATTATCTCAGATTTCCTGACTATTTATTATTTGGCTCACCGTTGTCTCTCGTCGAATAGATACATCCGCTCGCGCGAAGCGCGCTTGGGGGGCTTCACAACAGCAGCCTCTGACCGGACCGTTGCTCTTGTCGACGCCAGCAGACTGAGCAGTTGAGCACCCATGGAGCATATCGGGGTGGGGGACTGCCAAACGCACCAGGTCCTCTGGTGGGACGCGCGAATCCGCAACTGTGTCAAGGAGGTGGAGCGCAACGGCGGCAGACTAGACACGCACCAGATCCACCCAGAGATTTTGAAGCACATTAGCGAGGGAAAGGCGGCCGGTCTCTACCTCGACTCGGCCGCTGGCCAGGTGCTGCTCAGGACTCCTGGAAGCACCGTCCTACCGCCACCACTACACCTGAATCATCATCGCCACGCCCAGCAGCGTCAGCAGCAGCAGCACCTGCAACACCTGCAGCAGCAACAGCATCTGCAGCAGCAGCAGCAGCAACAACAACTGTTGCAGCAGCAGCAACAACAGCAGCACGGGCAGAAGCACCGCCGGGTTGCACCACCGCCGCAACCCGCACAACAGGCCTTCGGGAACAGCCTGTTCCTGAGGCAAAACCCACAGTTCGCTCACAACTTCCGCGCAAGCGGCGCAGCAGGTGGATACCCCCCTGTTTTACCCAACCCAATCAGCAGCTACGTGGGGCACGTCTCTCCGTCAGCGGCTCCGCTCCCTCCGCGGGGAAGAGTGGCCGGTCAAGCGGCAGCGGCGTACCCGGCTGATGACATCCTAGACGTCGGGACCGTCCATCGCGTCGGCGCGGCTATGATCGCCAGGGCTGCTCTCCCGTCGCTGGGGTCTTCGCCTCACCAAGCGGCCCTGAACGCCAACCGGTACGGTGCCGCTGTTCCCGCGCCGCAGAAAAGCCCACCCGGCGGGCACACGCAGCCCCAAGGTTTCGGACCGAACGCCGCGACCGACTCGACGCAGTCGTCCCAGTGGAACACCTACCAACAACAACACGTCCTGCACCCCGGGCGAGGGGAGCAGTACCCCCCCGCGCAGACACGGCCGGAGGTGGCGCGTTTCGATCAGGGGCCGGCCGCGCCCGCTGTGGCGCCGGGCGAATCCCGTACCGGAACGAACCGCCGTGCGGATGCCTGGACCCCGTCGGAGGGCGGTCGCAAGAACAAGGACAAGGGGAAGAAAGATTGTGTCACGCCGGGAGGACAGCTCAATGTGCCGCCGCAAGCCACGGAGATAGGGGTCAACTCCGCCGCGGCGCCGTCACCGGTGCGGCATGCCGACGCAGCTCTCCGCCATCAACAAGAGCAACCGGCGACTCACGAGAAAGACCCGTTGAACCAAAATACCCACCACGTCAGCCCACCGTCGTCCGAGACGAAGGTGGAGCCGGGCACGGCGGCGGCGGCGGCGGCGGCGGCGGCGGCGGTGGCGGCGGCGGCGGCCACATCCCCGATTCGGGGTACGGTTGGTGACTTTGGGCAGCGGGAGGCCGTCGGGACGCCACATGCCGCTGCTCTCGGCGAGCTTGGAGACCGCACGATCGAGCCCCCCTCGCCTCCACCGCCGAAGCAGCAGCAGCAGCAGCAGCAGCAGCAGCAGCAGCAGCGGCAACCCGAACCCGTGCGAGTGAAGTGGGGGGTGCGGGGAGTTGGCGGCGGTGGCCTTGACATCTCGAAAGCCGGCGGGGGTATTGCGAACGACGCGGCTGTGCTGGTCGACGTGCAGACGTACTCGAGTCTCTTCCCCCAACGCGGAATGGGTGTCTGGCGGGGGCATGGATCGGCAGTGGCCCAGGTGCTCATCGTTGGGGACCACGGGTTCGAGCCATCGGGACCGCTGGTCTTGCAGGCGGAGGCTGCTGTTTCCATCGAAACGGCTACCGTCAAGCGTGGCAGCGGCGTGGTTCCTGACAGGGCTCTGTCGATCAGCCTGGAGATTCCCACCGTCCATTCCCTCAAGGTATATTCAGGATAGAGATTCCGACAGACTAGGCTCCGGTGACATGCCGATCCTTGGGAGTAGTTCACTACAGTACACGCAAGACGACAAGAACGATGTCAGTGGAAACAAGAGCTAGCTGCTGATTGGTCGGCCATGAACGGTGGCATGTGTATCCTGTGGTGTTGGGGATAGGGGCATGCCTTCTCGTGCCGCCGTACCCGATGTCGTCCGGAAGCACTGCAATGCACGCTTGCCCATGGCGCTGCGAACACGCGCCGGATGCCATCGCGGAAGATTCTATTCAGGCTTGTCCCGTTGCTTGCATCGGGTAGGCACGCACCGACTGCACCACTTGGGCGCCTCTGGCATTTCTCTGCCTGTGGATGTGTCGACGAGCACGATGAACGCCGGTAACTCACACCCGAAACCCCCCACCCCGTGCGGTATACCGTGGTATTTATGAAGGATTTCCGTTTGATTGTTAACCGCGAACTGTACGAAGGACCCCCCGCTCGATGTAGCTTTGTCTCAATGCCGTGTCGTGCCTCGTCCGCTGCCCGTCGATTCCACCCCCTCCTCTTTTCCGGTGTACATGGACCGCGATGTCCTCGTGCTGCACAGGGAATCTTCGAGGTAAAGAAGACGAACGCGTCCGGAAGTCCCCTCATGGCCGTGTTCCGCAAGCCCGGGGATTACTGGCTGGTGGACCACCTCTCCAAAGCACGCCTCAGGGTGACGGCAACCAAGCGCTCCGAGGGGGTTCTCCGAGCGAAAGACGGCGCGGCCTCCGCCGCCGCCGCAGCGGCAGAGCCTCGGCCGTCGCCGCCGTCGGAGAACAGCACGGGACGGGACTGTGACGGTGCGGCGAGAGTCTCGAAGCGGCAGCAGGCCGCCGCCCCTGCTCCCTCGTCGCCGGGAGTCGGCGTTGTCCCCGCGGCGACGCGAAAGCTCTCGCCCGGGCCCGACAAAGTGGCTGTCCCGGGCATGACCCAGCAGAACAAGGAGTCGGCTCGACCCGAGGAACAAGCTACCGGACGCTCGGAGGGGCAGGGGGGGGGCACGTACGCCACGGTAGCAGGAAGCGCCACGATCCCGTCGCGCGAGAGGACGGTTGGCGGCGGTCGGGCGCTGTTGTCCACCCTTCGGGGGGCGAATGAGACTCGCCCCCAAGGCGAAGAGAGCGCTAGCATTGACCGAAGCCCTGCAGAAGGGAGGTTGCCTCTCGCCGTCGCCGTCGGCGAGCCCGCCGCCGGTGGGGCTCTCCCATCCCCAGGAAACGGCGCCGGCAGGGCTATAGCGGGTGGTGCAGATGGCGGGATAGCATTTGTCGGCGGTGGCGTTGACGGAGGCGTTGACGGAGGCGATGGCGGTGGTGGCGGAGGTGCAGGGTTTTCCCTCGACATATCGGCGGTTTCTTTCACACCTCGCGAACCCGGCGACGATGAGAGCAAAGGCGCCCCCGCCACCGTTGTTGGAGACGCCCGCAAGCCAGCGCTGAGCCCCCGGAGCGAATTTTATCAGGCAGCAGTGGCCGCCATCGACGCCAGCGCGCCCGCTCCCGAACCTCAGACTTCGACTCTGTTCCAGGCTGTAAGCGCTGCTACAGCCGGCGACGCGGCCGTGGCCAGCGCCGCTAGGAAGCCGTCGTCTGCCGCCGCGAGCACTCCTCCGATCCCGCCAATCGTGGGTAAGCCGCCCGCGGCCATGTCGGCCCTGTACGAGGCCGCTCTCGCCGCCACTACGGCATTGTTGCCCCCAGATGCTGGAACCTCCCGCCCTCAACTTCGCGCTGAAGCTCGCGGCACCGGTTCGGACCAACGGTCCCGACCTCGTGAACTATTTCCATCAACAGCAGGTGGTCGGACCCCAACCCCCGCTGCCGTACAGGTAGGCGAACAACAGGCTTCGGCTGCAACCCCCCACCCCGAGACGCGGTCAGCTCCTCCTCCTCCTGCCGTAACAGCGCCTTCTGCAGCACCGCCGCCCGGCCTCACTCCCTGCGGTTGTTGTTCTTCGACTCCTACCGAAAGACACCAACCCACCACCGCCGCGACGGCTGCACCGTCCCCGTCACCATCACGGTGTCCTCCTTCTTCCTCTACTGTCCGCCAGGGTGGAGCGACCTTCTGTCGTGCGAACCCCGAACCTTCCGTGTCCGCACCCCCCCAAGCGCATGGGGCGCAGACCACCCGTCAGGGCGTGGCTCCGACTCACGGGTCTGCTCGAGGCGTCACCGCCGCCGCCACTCCCGCCATCGCGGATGCCACCGCCCCGGAGACCCTCACGCCGTTCGTTGTTGTCCGCGACGAGCGAAGCATGTCAGACGCGGTCGGAATGCTTACGGTTAGGGGGGAGAGCAACAACAAGTCTGAGGCGGGAGACGGGGGGGGTCAAGGAGGAGTAGGAGGAGGAGGAGGAGGAGGAGGAGGAGGAGGAGGAGGAGGCACCGGGCGCCTCAGTAAGGCGCTGGAAGGGACAGGACCGGTGGCGGTTCGCCTTAACGGCACCAACTTGGGCGCGTCGGATGGCGTGATCTCGACTATTCAGGTGAGGGTTACGGGGGCGCGAGCGGTAGCGGCGACGGTGGAGGAACGGTTCGCCATGCACTTGAAGTATATATATTTCCAAACGAAATGTTGGCCTCCGGGTAGTGTTCGCTGGGCCAACTGCAATGGTCTCTTCGCAAGCGCCCTTCTTTTTCGGTGAAGTTTGTCGGCGTTGCTCTATCGAGCCTATCGCAGCTTGTGCTGCTGCTGCTACCGATCCTGCTGCTTTTGTAGCTCTTCGTGCTGTTGATGATGATGCGGTCTTCACGTAGAGCCGTCCTTCGAGCTGTCTGCCGGGTGCTCGTCCTGCGTCGTTGGAAGTTAAAAACCCACGTCACGAGGCCTCCGTATCACATTGAACCCCCCTTCGCAGGTCGCAACTGGAGCAGCGCCTTCGGTAGTGGTTTTCGACGTGCAGTCCCTGCTCAACACACCTCAGGGCAAGCGGGTCCTCTGCACGGAGCTACGCCCGGTGCTCGAGGATGCTGACATCGGCAAGGTGGGGTGCTGTTCGTCTTCTGTTGTCCTGAACCAGCGCCCTATCATACGACGCCACTACGAGCAAGTAGCGTGAACCGGAGGGTCGTACAGCCGTGCTCCGTCTTGGTTCAAACAAAAGCTGCGTGCGTTGATGGTGTTGTGTAATACATGTAGTGCTGAGCAGCGGTGCGTGGCAGCGGAGGCCTGTACGTCTTTTCCCTGCCGGACGGATCTAACAACCGCATAGGTTAGCTGTGTTTTTATGAACAGGCGGTTCCATCGCGTTCAGCAATGGCTTTTATGTGCGCACCCTCGCGTGCATTGTGTATGTACACTGGGTTTGGCCTATTCCCCCACTCCATCCCTGCTCGTCGAGAACACTTATCCGGGAAACAAACCAAGACACGTGCTGCCACCGCCGCTGTGGCCGGCAGGTAGACCCTCCCCTTGACCCGCCTTCCCTCTATCACCCCCTTGACACGACAGGAGATGCACGACGCGCACGACCACATCGTGGCCCTTGCTCGCCTCCTCCAAGGACTGGGTCTACGCCCGCGGATCAACTCCGTCATGGACCTGCAGCTGGCGCACGAGGCGCTCTGGGGGGACCCGCTCAACAGCTTCGAGGATGCTCTCCGGGCCTTCTGCGTGTGCCGGAACCCTCGCCGGTGTGTTGAGATGAGACTAGACGACATTTTCCTCACTCTCTGGTGCTGCTCTTGCGAAACAGTTTTGGATTGTGTTGGTTGCTGCTATCCCTCGGTACGTCCTTACCCACAGCCTCACCGTAGCAGTGGAGGCAGCAGCAGTAAACCGCTGTTTCGGAACTCTCCCCTCCGGCCAATGAGTGTTTGGCCCGTGTTTGGTATCGGTATCGGCCAACAGCGTTGGTCAAGAGCATTTCGTTTCCTTCCCTCCGCCCCCCCCGCCCCCTCATCGCTGCTTATTTCTGTCGAGGATATTTACCACTGTTGGAACATGTTGGCTTTCGGAGGCACTGACGGGAAACGCAGTCTTGAGTCTTGTGAAGCACTGCTTGCTGCGTGCCGGAATAGCCGCGTGTGAACCTTGTTCAATTGGAACGAGCTTGTGTGAACGTGAAACGGTGCCTATCAAGGTGGAGGCCTGGTGGAGTCTTACGGCTGCACGCGTTAGTGTTGTACGATACCGTAGCGGGTTTTGATTAAAGTTAAGTTAAGCTGGTTTCCCCACCACGTCAGCACCCGTTCCACTTGAAACTGAGTCTAATCGTGCCTTGAATACACTCCTTTCTGTGTCAAGCGCCAGCCATGCCCGGGAATCGGTAGAGTGCTCCATGAGCGGCATAGGAAGCCATGGTTATCGTTCCAGCCGACCGGCTGTCTGTCCTTGCCAAACGCCATCCCTCAGCAACTAGGGTCGCAGAGAGCCACCTAGTACTACCGACATCCGTGCAGATTTCATTCCTACCTTTGAAAAGGGTTCGTTGAAATGGGCACGTCGTGAACGAAAGGATAGTGGGGTTGTGAACCAGCCTTGTGTGCTCAGTATCGAGAGTTGCGATTCCCCTGGAGAGGCAATAGCAAACGTTTGGTTGTGTACACCGTTAAAGATAGGTGGAGGAAATTCTCGGACTCTGCGTATGCGACGGCTAGAGCTAGACACCTTCCAATGAATCACAACCAGCCGTGATCTTGTTGTACTGTTCGGCAACAGACATCCCCGATGATTTTCGGTGCCTTGTGCCTTGTGCCTTTTGTCCTGCCACGTCACCACTGCACGGCACGCGTCTGCTGTTATTCCAGGATGTTCTCCATGGACGGCGAGTGTGACAGTCCGCCGAGCGAGGAGGCCTTGCAGCTGGCGGCGGACGGCGCGGCTCGACTCGGCGAGGTGAGTGCCGCGTTGTTCCGGTTCAGCCCTCAAACTTTGCTAGAGGTTGGGACGGCGGTGGGCGTGGTTGACTTGGTTGATTCCTGATTCTCAAATACACGAAACAACGCGTGAATCTATGTCGTGGCATTCATGCCCAGCAAGGGCCGTCAAGGATGTGTATGGGTTGTAGAGGTCTTTTGCACCGAGGGTTCTCTTACCTCGGGTTCGTCCGAGGGGGGAGAGCCGGAGAATCAAGCCGGTGCGGGGTGCTCCCCCTACGTTATTCGTTTGTTTCATGCGGTTGATTGGTACGCCATTCAGGAACGCTCGCATGGATTCTGTCACTGTGTAGGGTAAGGCTGGGTGGTGTTTGGCTGGACTGGCAGAAATTCTTGATAAGTTTTTTTGGTGGTCTCCGCGGCTACAATTTGTTGGATCTGGAAGTCGGCCGCCGCAATTAGCACACCGCCGTCGCTTTAGATTTTGCGCTTTATTGTAGACTGCTGTAGACAGCGCTATGGAAAAAGATAGGCTCAAGCTTGTGGGTTGGGGGTGTGAAAAGGCGAAGTCGGTGTATTGAAAATTGGAAGTAGCTACATAGTACAGAGGATTTTCAATGGTGGGGTTGCTTCTACATGATCTCACTCAACCATGTTCTGTAGCACTGTACCAGTACGTGCTTTTGTAGCCCTGTGTGGGCGGAAGGCTCTGGGGTCCCGGTTGCCCCGATGTCCCGACTTGCCACTCAATGTCGACACCGATGCTTCTGTGTACGCAAGGAGTTAACCTCGCCAACTCTTGTCCCTCCTGTGCGGGTGAATACCGCAGGCCTGCCAGCTGGCCAGGGTGGCTCTGATCGCCGCCGGACAGCAAGAGCACCACCGAGACCAGCGACTGAACAACGTTTTCAAAGCCTCTCAGGTGAAGAGGTTTCCTAAGCTCCACCCTCGTACTGCAAGAAAATGGCCTCTCACGCTATCGCCACACTTGCTGTTGTTATATGAGGGAGTATGTTGACCTGTGGAAGAAACCTCGCACGCCGGTGCGCCCCTGGGTGGTGGCCCGATGGGGACAAGACGACTGAGGAACTCCGTGCTCTGCCCTGGAAATCAGCGAACGAAAACTAGCCCAGGACGATGCCATAGACCTATCGTCATACGTGACGGTACGCTGAGGAGGTTGCCAGTGCTCTTGCATGCAGCCTTTGCTTGGACGGTAGGGGCTCCGTATTGTTCACGAGACCACGGTGGTAATTTACTCCCACGTCACTATTGGACAAATGCCGTAAAGCCGTCGGTCCGTTGTTGCAGATGAAGGTCGACTCCGCCACGAACACCAAACGGGATGGCTGGCGGCGCATGACGTTCGTCGATGTGGGGGACGGGAGGGCCGTGGAGGGAGGCGCCAAGACTCTCGCCAGCTACGAACTCCAGAAGGCAAGCAGGGGGTTGGGTGAGACGCGGCTGTTTTTCTTATTGTTGTTGTTGTTAGTCACACATGTTAGCAGCGCCAATATTAAAGACGCTTCTCCACGCAAGACGAGTGTGTACAGCGGATCAAAAGCGACGTTCATGGCTCACTTTTGCTGCAGGACCTGGCTGACACCGTCAGGTTGGTTTAGGTTAGGTGAGGGTAGGAGATAAACCCTTTGACGGTGGACCCGAGTTTCTTCCGTGCTCAATCGTGCCGGGTGTGTCCTTCCAACTTCAACCCTAGCAATGTTTTGCGGCTCCAACAGCACTTGTGGTTTTCCAGCACAACCAAGCGGCGACGCTGAACCACTTTAGTAGTAGCGTGTGTGATGCGCCCGGCGGTTTGCTCACCACAGTCTTGACGGGGAGCAACGTAGCGACGCGTTTTCCCTTACCGCAGGGTTGTCTTCCCTCTCTTTTTGCTTTTTCCTCTCGCGTGCAGGCTGAAGAATAGTAGTAGTACCATTGTCTTTCTTGCAAGCCCCCGAGAAAAGCTAGCAAAGGCAATTTCCTGTACACTGCGCAGAACAAGAGCGTATGTCCATGACAACCAGTGCGTTGGGTGCAGGAGAGAGGATGCAATGAAGTGTCGAATATTCATGGCTACAGCGACCATGCAAATATTTTTAAGAGAGGTTTGGTCGGAGTCTTTGGATGATAAGTCCATTCAATTTTGAGTTTCGCTCCATGGCAGTGAATGGCAACAACGCAGCGTCCACTTCAATAACTTCAAAGCCCCCGCGTCCTTACCAAACCAACCCATGGCCACCGTCCGTTGCAGGCCAAGGAGCATGCGGAGAGGCGCCGCGCCTGGAACGATGACGTGGAGGCGGAAGCGCTATCGTCGCCATCCTCTCGAAACGCCCCGGACAAGAAAAAAGGGTCCACCACCGCTAGGCAGGGCCTGTCGGAGCCCGGTTCGTCCCAGCAGAGACGGGGGTACGAGAGGGACGGCAGAAGAATGCAGGAGACGACAATCACCTTTGGCACCCTGGACGGCTCTCTGTCCAACGGGGGGACGGGAAGCTCGGAAGTAGGTGACTTGGGCCTCGGGCTTGGCGGCGGAGAGAGCGGAGGAGGGTCCCGCCCTCATCCCTTGATTGATGGCACGTCCCCCCTGGGGAACGGCTATGAGGACGACGAGGAACAGAGGTGAGTCGAATGGCTTGGTGATGATGGCGAAGTTATGTTATGCTGTGGTGCGGGCTCTGTCTGGGTAAGGAGGCCGAGTAGCACACACAGGCCAATGAAGATATAGAAGGTCAGCTCATTTGGTGAGGCGGCGGGTTGCATGCTAGTTTTTGGAATGGCTAGGGATACGGAGATTCCAACGATAGCTAGAACATACACAAATACATGCATAGACAAGACTGGCTTGACTTACCCCATTGATGAGTTGATGACATTGCTCTCAAGATAGACGAGAAGAAGTGTCATAGAGAAAGTGTACACAAGACGCGAGCCTTCAATCGACAACACCGGCGCTTTCGACGCCTCCGATCGCAGGTACGAACAGGAGCAACGATGTCACACCTTTGCTCGGGCATTCAGCGGATGCTGTACGGTTCGATTCCCTTCTGTGCTCCAAACGAGCCCCCCCCCGCAGCTCGGTGTATCGTCGCCGAGCAATGATTTTTTTCCGCTGTAGTTGCGTCGTCGAATGACCTCCTTTCATGTCGACCAGCGTTTGTTCCTGTTCGCCACCGATCGAGAAGAAGCGTATCGACGTATCGACGTATCGACGTGACGTTAGCAGCCAGCAGTAGCGGCGGGACCTCGGGATAGCCGACTTTCTTGAGAGTTGCACCGGTGTTCGTTTCCCTGTTCCCGCAACATCTACGGCCCCCTTCAGCCAAATACATTACCCTCCTCTCCGCTACGTCGTGGTATATCCCAGCACTATTAGTATCTTTCCTTCGTATCCTGCATTTCCCTCATTTCTGTCCTGCAAGTAACCTATCTCCCTTCTCTTCTCTTCTTTATTCATTTGTCCGTCTTGCCCTCCAGTCCCTCTCTTCGATCCTTTGCTCTGTTGCTTCTCACAGTACATCATGTCTCTGTCTTGGCCCCTTTTCTCTATTTGTGCCTTGGTGTTGTCCTCTGTGCCTGTCTTCGTTCCTTTCTCTCTTCTTCCCTTCTTTTCGTCGTTCGAGCTACACCTCATGCTCTCACCTCATCTTCTAGGCTAGCCTCCCGCTCTTTGTTGTTCGGGAGCGTGCTTGCGTAGGCGATTGATTTGCCTAAACATCCGGTCACCCCTTCGCTTTGACAGCTACCCTTCCCCTTTGTGTGTGTCCCTCTGCATATGCTTCTCGCAACTCGGCCTCGAAGGGTGCAGGACTTGCCGTCACCCGCCTCCTACCAAAGAAGGGCCGCCGGCACGAGCCAAGGCGCCTCGAACGGTAGCGGTAGCGGTAGCGGTAGCGGCGGTACCGGCGGCCGTAGGCGTCAGGTTCAGCAGCAGTCGTGGGGTGCTGGTGGAGAGGACGACGTGTTGGAACTACTCAAGCACATGCCCAAAGTATTCGTGAACGATATCATGGCCCACAGGTAGCGGTCATTGGGTTCGGATGGAGACTTGTTTCTTTCTAGCGGCCGGATGACCTTGAATGATTTCCGCTTCCGCAAACGTCGTAGCGAACTAAGCCATTGGCTGTGACGTGGTCATAAGGAGGTCGTAACGGCACAGCAAATAAACTGGACGTTTGCCACGTCACCCTGCTCATTCACCTTCGGCGAATCGAAGCCTCCGAAGACAGTTGACATCGAAGTCAAGCCAGGGCAGTACACAAACAGCACGTGTAGTGAGGCACCGTTGACGTCAGTAGAAACTAACGCTTTTGCTGTGCCTTTTCACACAATCCCACCCACCGGATGTCGCGCTAGGCTCTCGAGAGCAGAGTGTCGGCACCAGGAGTCTTGTCGTTACCCGCACGTACAAATGCCTTCGAAACTACGGAGAGCGTTTCTTCACCTCGAGTCTGCTCCTATTGTTTTGAGCAGCGACGTGGTTTCCGGACTTGAGGAGGTCGTGCTGGACCAAGGGTGCCGTCCGAGGGGACTCGTCAAAGGCAAGCGACAAAATTAAGGAAATAATAAAGTGTCGGCTTTGCTGGAGCTGATGCCGTGGCGAAACAGGATGGCCATGGTCGACGGCGCTTATTGTTGTTGTCGTATAGTCATGCCGTTTTGGGGTGCACCCTGCAGACGCAAGCCTCCCAAGTACTGCACGTGCCGAGGTATGAACTCAGCTGTTCCCTGCTCCTCGTTTGGCCGTGTCAAAGCTGTGCCCGATCCGAGCACGGAAAACCATGCTTGACCTTGCTGCGGGTGGAGCTGGCTGAAAGCCTGACAAGTGGAGTGGGGTATATCCACCAAGCTTCTTCTCTCTCTGAACTTGTCTCTGGGCTTTCACCGTCCTCTTTTGAACCCTTGCCGGCGTTTTCATGCCGGTAACGACCACCGACCAAAGTGTAGTAGTTCTCACGTCACCGGGTCTCTCTTGGTCCTCTCTCGTCTCATCGTTTTTCTCCTGGGAAATTCTTGTTATTGTACCTTGAACCAATCGGCGTGCTGTAGGCAGGGGCAAGGTGTACCTGTGCAAGGACCGCGGCGTGCTAGTGACTCGATACCACCTCAACTGCGTCGTGGGCAAGCTGGAGCACTTGGGCCTCTTCGGGAGGGACAACATGGCGGGGTTCGACGGACTGCTGCATAGGGTGGGGGTGATGCGGGACAAGGTGCGCAAAATTTAGAAACTACGAAGCCTCCACCTCAACCTACCGTAGGTAAAGTGTTGACCGCCTGAGCTGGGCTTGATGATCAAGATGGACACCATGCGGTGTCTAGTTGATGGTGGGCCCATCTCAGCTGGTTGCGGATCATAGCGCGTGGCATATAAGTTCGATTTGTACTTCCATCTTCGCCCCTTCAGTACACGACAATTACGGTCTACGCCGTTGGTACTAAGGTGGTAGCACCACAACACAATTAAAACTCACCTATATTTCTCGGCATTCCCAACACAATTAAAACTCACCTATATTTCTCGGCATTCCCAACACAATTGAAGATCACCGTTATTGCTTGGCATTCCCATGTGCTTCCGTCAATATTCTCAAGAAATCCCGCGCCGAGTTGCGTACCACAAGTTTTTTTTATCACCGCCGCCGGCGTCGACTTGCTTAATCGGGAGTAGCGTTAGCATGTCCATGCTGTTGGCCGGCGTGCCAGAACATGTTTGAGTCGTGCGTACAACGTTGTAGATGCCACAGTTACTGGAGTCTCCTTCTTTTTATGGAACTATCGCGGTTCCTCCCTCCCCCTTGCTGTCGGTGATGGTAATCATTCAGCGTTGTGAATAACTCTATTGTTCCTCCTTGGGATCTGTTTACACCTTATCTGACCTCTTTCATATTTCATATTTCATAATTGTATTTCATTACATTACATTACGTTACAGTAGCTTATTTACCTACCGTAGGGTAGCTTCGGAACGTGTGACGCCGACATGTTTTTCTCGTTGCTTGAAAATGCTAGACCACGAGGAACCGGATAGACGTCGTAACGTTTTTGTAAAATTCACGGAGTAACAACATCGCACCAACAAGGATCAGATCAGCAACATTTTCACCTTCTGGGTGACGACATGAACAACAGAAACAACTCATCATCATCAACAACAACGACAAGAACGACAACTTGACACTCTTTGCCGCACATTTCGCACTCTTCGCCGGAATCCAGAGCCATGCTCGGGTTGTTCGCCGTTCGTGTATAGTTTTTCGTGTTTATTGGGTTCCCTTTCAAGCGGCGCTCTCGTTATTACGGGGGAAACTGTGCATGCAATTGCATGTGTAATACTTCACCGTTGTTGCTCATCTCGTCTGTGGTTTCCTTGAGGTCAATCAATACCTTGTATGACACAAGATAACACACCCCCTTGACCAATTTTCGAAGCTCGATTTCTCAATTGCAGGAACAGTCACAGCGCCGAAAACGGCGGCGTTGAAACCGTCTCGTCGAGAGCTTTTCGAAAATGTATCGTTTCGTGTATGCATTCTCTTCGTCGTGGAGTAATCGAGCTTTGAAAATCGGTCCAGGGGGTGTGTTATCTTGTGTCATATACGATACCCTGATGTTTGTTGATGCTTGATTCACTCGATGATTATTTGTCAGGGCGGCAAGATTTACGGGGTGACGATTCGCGTGGGCCGATACGCCAAGGGCATGGCAGACATGGTCGACGACCTCCTGTTCAACCACCACGTTGCAAGTGCGTTTATTTCATCGCGTTTTCGCTTTTGTGGGAGAGGATGAAAAATCGAGTTTGGACAACAATTGGTATGGTGGTGAAGGAGCATGCGTCTGACTACGTTAGCATCTACATTCGCTGGACAAGACGGAACTGTGAATGCGCAACACTATTAGAACGGACCGGGAGGTTCTACTCTGATAGGTATCAACCGTTGTGACACCTAACCCGCCCCCTTGGGGCGATACAGTACGATATGACACCGAACGTAATGCTGTAGGGAGTTGCCACACAAATCAAAAATGATCTCCGCGGTGCTCACATCTCACATAGCCATGCACCACCAAGTGTCCACGTGTGCTGAAAGTGGATTGAGTGATAGCTCTGGGGGGAATAAACCTGCGTCCGACGAAGAAAGGGGCGCGACGGCAGCCGAGAAACGCTTGAAACCTCGCAACGCAACATGTCGATACATGTGCGTCTATCCGCACACAGAAAAGCGAGCATCCCAGGCGCCGGCTTCGATTCTGGTCCTGGGCAGGCACGGAGCCGGGAAGACGACGCTCGTGCGAGACATGTGTCGAAAGCTTTCGTCCCACGAGGTGTGAAGGCAGCATCGTTGTGGATGCATACGTAGAAAGACAAAGTGCAGAAACGAACAAGTCGTGATATGTGCCTTCAGGTTTCTACAGCAATTTCTGTCGTGGCCTCTGGACGCGTGAAACATGGGCGGCGACGCCCCTGCTGGATACCGTATGCAGAAAGTATCCCTTGGAAGGTTAAGAATATGGTTCACGGAGAAACCCTCCCTAAGGAGGGCGCGTAGCCCACCTCAGGTGGCGATTGAATTATTTCCGCAGCTGTATTCAGTAAAAAAACACAATATTTCTATGGTTCTGGGACACTGTTTTTAATTTCCAAGTGTCTCTATGAGAGCTAGCTCCCTTTGTGTTAATCTCGTTCCCCTCGGTTGCGGTCTTTTCACACATTCGGTGAAACGGACGCCTTTCTTTTCAGACTGTGGTGATCGTGGACACGAGGAGCGACATCGGAGGCGCCGGCGTCGTCCCTCACAGGGGCGCTATCGGGGAAGAGAGCCGCAGGGTCATGGTCCCGCAAGGGACGCAGCAGCATGAGTGAGTCAGCCATTACTCTCTGGCGTGCCGCTGAGACCCTGATTGAGTTGACAGACACCTTCTGGGCGGATCGGATTGCGGAGATAGAGAACTCCACCGGTGTCCGAGAGGGTTATAGTTGCTGGCTTTTTCCAGCATGCGGGACGGTGTTCGCCCAGCGGTTTCGTTTCGTTTCGCTAGTTCTCGTTGTTGAAAGGTCTCGTCTGGGCGGTGCAAGTCGACGTCGGTTCCAACGGATTCCCGACGGAATACAAATTGACGCGATTTCTGCCCAGCCTGTAATGATGGGGTTGGCGGGTTTGCCGCGTGGATGATTGTGTTGCACCATTCTGACCCCTTGGGCTCCTGTTGAACTTTTCTACATGTACATAGTTGAAGAGACATTTTACCCAACACCGGTGGCGTATTAATAGTGAAAGTTTCGCTATCGGTGACAACGGGATCGACGGTCGAGCTAGGCCTGCTTGCATACGGAATGCTGTGGCAAATGTCTATATTGTCTACACGGGATGGTTGTGGTAGAGAAAAGCTTGGTCGTTATCTTCTCAAGCGTTGGTATCACGTTCAAGGTCCTCCGGTTGCTGCCGCACGCCGTTTGTCGGGATGTCAGAAAGGCCAAACTCGAACCGAAACAGTTTTCGCTGCCGTCTCTCCCGCTGCATCCACGTCCCCGGAATATCTTTTTTGTGGTGGTAGGGTTATCCTCCAAGCCTACCGAAACCACAACCCTCAGACAGTCGTGGTGGACGAGATTTCCTCCCAGCTGGACGTCGAGGCTTGCATGGCGGTCAAATCCCGGTGAGACGAACTGCTTCACCCACTCACTGAGTTTCATTGTACACGCAGAGAGGTTTGGCACAAGGCCCACCCTCACATCCCCGTGCTAAATATTTTTGCGCGAATTTGTCGCACGTGCTTGCCCGCTGCTTTGGATGTTTCTCAACCCCTAGGCTAGGAGTATTCGCGGTAGTGCTGGCGATGTGCTCCTCCTTGTTAACAGCTACAGCTAGTGTTTGTTGTGTCGGTACCCTTTTCCGTACAGCAGCTCAAGTCTCGAAATTTACCCAACCGAGCGGTCTTTCCCCAAGCAACGATAGTCAGCGCATCACCATGTATCACGGCAACCTGCACCATCGCCATAAAAAAACAACACGGTCTCCATGAATTGCGTGCGCTACTGCCTGAGGACTTGTATGGATATTTTTCGTTACACCTCACTCCCGATCTTTACTGTACTGACCCCCCTGCGCAGCGGCGTTCGTATTGTAGCCGGTGCCGTGGGCGACCTGCCCTTCGTTCTAGACAGCCCGGAAATCGGCGCGGCCCTCGGAGGATTGGAGGATATACAACGCTCAGCCAATGGAGATGACGACAGCGACGACCAAATGGTGAAGGGTTGTTGGTTGTTCAACTTGACGCTATGTAGTGTCCTGCTGTCGGCGTCTTTTCCAAGAGCTTCGGCTTGCTGTTATCTTCTTTTCAGGTGTTTCAGTGGAGATTTGTTTTTCGGCGAAAAGCCGGACACATGAACAACATGCGATGTTGCGGTGTTAAGTTGTGGAGAGACGGCGATGAGTTGAGCTGTCGCCGGACCTTGCTCAACCTACGAGGTGATAATGCGAGTGGCTCGGTTCGTCTACCTGAGGTTTGTGAGTGTCGTTGCATGCGCCTGGACACGTGATCCATTACAGAATATTGCGAACCGATCCATGTGCACGAAGATACGCGCACGGACTCCCCAGACAAGTGATAGATGCGCGCACGGATTCCCCAAGACACGTGTTACAGTGCTCTCGGTTCCCTCCTGACCTCTACATCCTCCGGGCGATGAACAATCTGCACGCATGCGTCGGGGAACGAAAGGAACGACGCGCGGGTTCGCCGGTGTTTGAGGCGGTGGTCGAGCTGGAGGGAAGGGCGGGAGGGGTGGCGCCGCAGGGGGCGGTGGTGGCGAACGTGGAGGCTGTGGTGGACGAGCTGCTGGACAAGGGGTGCGTGACGCGTCCCGAGATGAGGGCGCCTGTGGGTGGAGATGACGTCATGCTTGATGAGGTGCGTACTTGTAGGGGTGTGTGGAGATGAGGAGTCGGAGGTGTGTTGCTGTTGTAATTATGTACACTGCACAAGTATGCACAGCGATCATGAACATGAACTGGCTGTTTTTGACCTACCATGTGTCGTGCTTGGCCGTATCTCAGCGCAACAAGCCGATTCTCAATTCCATGGTTTCGCGGGAAGAATTCATGACTTGCTGGCGATGGTCCAACTATATGAATCCGCGTTCGCCCGGCGGGAAGTTGTTGGCTTGTCCGGAATGGAGTTTTTTTGCCCCCATTTTTTGCCTCACCTCTGAGTAGGCTACCCGCAATGCCAGGAAGGGGTTGTTGTGCTTTCCTTTTTCGGTGACCCCTCTCTATCACTCGTCTTACCCCAGCCTGGCCAGGACTGGGAGCCTTACACGTCGTCTCACATCGGCTATCGCCATACCACATTTTTTTGTCCTACAGTACGGATACGGAGATGAGAAACAAGCGTCAATATCGGGTCGAGGCACAGGTTGCCATGTAGTGTGAAATAGAGTTTAGCGCAAAGATTCACCGTGTACTGCTATCGGCGTGTTTCTTGACCCATTATTTTTCATGTTTCGTGAATATGTGAGCGTTTGTTTCTCAACAAAATGGTATACTTTAACTGCGGACCCGTACCGTGTCGTACCACATCCTAGTCTCACCGACTCCATAGATGCACACGGTCACGGTTTGGTACACACAAGCCGCCACTGAACCGGTGTGGCGCTGCTGCTTTCTCCTGTCTCTGTCTCTGTCTCTGTCTCTGTCTCTGTCTCTGTCTCTGTCTCTCTCTGTTTTTGTTGTTTTCTGTTGGGAACCAGGACGCTGGAAAAGATGCCGCGGGAGGGATCGGGGGCCATGGGTGCTGCACCCCCTTCTTGCGCAAAGTTTCACGCGACCAAGCGGACAAGTGGGTGTGGTAGGCCAGCCCTATCGCATGGAAATAGACACATTTGAGGAGCAAACGAACGCTAACACGACGAGCTGGACATGCATGTCGCTTTGGTAGACTGGCCCTAAGGCGTGGAAACACAAATGTAGAGGAGAGCATCGAACTACTGTTGCTATTTGATCGGGGGGAAAAAACGATAGGCGACAAGGGTGTTGAACCCCGCGGTTAGTCGCAGACGCACGTTTGGTGATCGGCATGGGGAGAATGGTTGACCTGCACAAGGCGGGGGAGTCTACAATGTTGCACTGCTACCCACCCATTTGACGTATCTACGTTTTGCGAAAGTTGCGAAGGGCGCTATCGCCACTCCAGGGAGGAGGTGTCGCCGTTGTCCCGAACCTCAGCAACCGCGACCACTCCTGGCGTCTTCTAGCGATGCCCATCGCTGCCGATCGATGTGTTTCGGGTGAAACTGCCCTGTACTGTAGGGTGTATGGTGTTTGGTCAACGGAGGCGAGAGGGTTGGTCGTCGCTGAGTCATGGAGATGACGAAGTTTACTTCTGGGGGCAAACGACTTGTAGAATAGGGTTTACACAACAGAAGCGAGCGGCGATCACACCGCGGGTTGTGTTGTTCTTTTTACTCTGCGGACGGAATTATGTTTATTTACAATTGGACGAAAAATTTGCGTTGTGCTAGTAGGACACAGAATGACAGAAGTGCGGACGCATGATATATGATCAATGCACAACACAGGAATAGCTCGATCTCCGAAACGGGGGCACACAAATCGGAGATTGAATAATGGAATTTTTTCAATCACCTTTGTTATGGGAAGGTACAGTTGCCATGATCTGGGCCGGCGTGGCAAGGACCTACGTTGTTCGTTGCATGCATCAGGTGTACCAGTAGAAATGTAGAGAGTGTAAGCAGTGCTTTGCTCATCGTGCAATAGTGGGTGCTTCAATGACTGTACGAATCGGAGGGAACAGCAAGCGCAACCTCACTGTATTATATGGTAAGTTGGCGTTGCGTATGAGGGATGATCTGATGTGCTCTTTAGCACGTGGCATGCGTGGATGTGCAAGGGGCACGGTTGTCGATGTCGTTCGATATATTGCACGTCGCAGTCAAACATAGATGCTGCTTTTCGTTACACTCACAATTTATTCACTATTGTAGCTAGACTATGCTGTAGCTGACTGGCGTTCCCGACAACGCAGCCAGCCCCAGAATGAAAATAAATGACGTCTATCTCCCTCAAACTTGAAAATCGTGCGCTTCCAAGACTCAGAAGTCATCATGATTGTATCTGCAAGAGTTCATGCAATCGATCGGCCGTGTTACTATTGACTGTCACCGAGAGAGAGGGGGGGGGACGACGAACCTAACGACCGGTTCAAAATCGATTTGGAGAACAGTCATGATACAGCAGTAGAGCTGTCGCACGTTGTTGCCCCGCGCTTTCCACAAATATTTAAGCAACACTAGGGCGTTCAAGGTGACCAGGAGAATAGCTGAAGCCACATGTTGTCGACGGGATACAGCGGTAGCATCTTGACTGCAACCCGTGCCGTTTTTCCCTCGTGGGTTTTACTGCTATGGTATCTTCAGGGGATCCCTCATTTTCTTTCATCATGACGCGCATCTTTCAACAAAACACACACCACGTCGCCTCCCCACAGGCTCATAGGTGGGTAATCCCCCCGGGTGAGATTCAAACGAGCTGGCGGTTGTTCTTGCATAGTGCTGCGGCCGCAGGGTTTTGGGGTGATGCTCTCTTGCGCTCGGGACGTCTCTCGACTCTCGACTCTCGACTCTCGACGGTTTTTCGTCGGGAGCGAGTTTTTGAAACGGAAAACACGGCATGGTGCCACCGCGACATCATCTTTGCAACGATGCCGTAAACACGTACCAGCATGCCCAAGGCGGCGATCCTACGACCCCCCTCCCGACAGACAGCTCGGCAGCTCGACCACGCGACTGCTAGCTCTGCAGCACGTGCGACGCGGTGCACGAACGTGCCACCTGCGGCGAGCCTACAAAGTCAGGGATGTCATGGTCGAAGGTCGCTTTCGGGGCGGCGAAGTGTGCGAAGGGCGTCGTGGAGCATGAGACGGCTTTGAAGACAGCTCTCAAGGGAGGCATCACAGGTAGGTGACACCTGTTTGTTGTAGCGGTATGCATATGCCTCAGCAAGTTGTCTTTGTTTGCCCCATCGCTGGCTCTCCTGTCGTTCTCTTCTTCTTGTACTGGTACACTACCCCTAAGCATGTTCAGCAGTAGCGGCAGTACAGCAGTGCAGATGTCCTTTGGGCTACATGCACCATTGATCACTGCGCTCGACTACTGCTGTACCATGTGTACCAAACTGCCCTGCACACACTCATGTATCATGAAGACCAGGGCACCAGGGCGCCCAGAAGTGGTGCGGTCTGTCTATCCGCTACAATTGCTAAGTACAGCTTAAGTATTGCCCGCCCCGCTCACCATGTCCGCCTGGTGTTCTAGTCTTTGTCGACGTCTTTTCCGTGACACACATGTGTTGAACGATGTGGCGCTTGGCTTGCATACTAGACCTACTTTTAATACCTTCGGTGGCAAGGGTATACTGCACAGCGGCAGTTGCCGTACTGACTTTGACTACAACCCTTTTGTTTCCTCTGCTCCTCCGGTGTGTCCGATGTGGCTCGAGTAGTCGTCGACACCAGCGCGAATTATATGGGCGGAAACAGCGAGCTCTTGGTGGGTGAGGGAGTCGACCGGTGGCTAGCCTCTGGCGAAGGCAAAGACAAGAGTCTAACGGTGGTGTCCAAGTTCGGCTACGCCGCGGTAAGCTTGGGAGGTCAACGTACGGTCTGTTATTTACTCTGTTGGTGCAAGAGGCCCCAAGAGGTCTAACCTACATGTAGCGGCCGTGAACTGCTGTGCTAAAACGCGGCTGTGCCGCTTGTTCGGAATGCGCAGTGGGGAGAGGGCGATGGAGAGGAATCGACGGTCCGAACCAACGCTCGACCAATCAGAGGGCGTAAGAGCCAGTAGATGGGAAGAGTCAGTGTGTCAGACCGTAAAAACTACTGTAATGAAGCTTGGGTGGCGGCTGGCCCGCATGTCTTGGAGTCATTGATGGTTGCATGACGGTGGAACACCACGAAGGCGCCGTGCCGAAGGATGAGCTTCTCATTGCCTGCACGAGCAAAGGGGCTGGCTACGCTCATGTTGGTTGGCTGGGCTGTTGCATCATGAGGTTACAAGGGCAGGGCGCGAGGTATGCACAGTAGTGCAGGCATGAATTGAATCCGTTGTGCCGAGTAGGTTGCCAACGCGGCGAAATAAATGGTCGGTGTTCACCACACACTAAAACTAGTATGTCACCTTCAACACGTTTTTGCCACACAGCAGTACCTGCATGGCAAAGTGTTCCCTGCTACGTGTATGTACCTGCACCAGACCTCGATAAGATGACCCTGGGTTTTTCGAAACTTTTATTAACTCATCGAACAGGCGGGCTCGAAACTCCCAGGAGTAGCGCACGTCGCGCCCGGTCTCTCCCACTCCCTCCACCCAGATTTCTATCGACACGAGCTGTCGGCTTCCACCGGTCGCTTGGGGGCCACCGAGATAGGCGCGTACCTCGTGGAGCACCCGGAGCACCACCTCGCCCTCAAGCTGGGACTCGCCGGCGGCGAGAACGCCTCCGCGACCGCGGACGGTGGCGGTCCGCCCCCGCCTAGCCAGGTCCAGCTAGACGAAGCTCGGGGCTCGTTTTACGAGGAGATGACGGCCTTGTTTCAGGCGATGGAGGGGCAAGCAGAAAGAGGGATGGCGTACGGGGTGAGTTCGTTGGGCCTGTCGCTACCCACGTGGGACCCGATGCACGTGTCGTGGGAGAAGCTGGTGGAGTGCGCGGAGCAGGCGGCTTCCAGGGCTGGGCGAGACCGGTGAGGGGGGCTTACCTGAGCGGTCGGGACTTTTGCGGGCCTTGTCCGGTGCTTGAAGGCAGGCGGCGCCGTGCCGTTGCCATCGACATCTGGTTGTTGTAGATCTACTGCAGCTGCTGTTGAGCGATGAAACTGGACGTTTTGTCTTCACGCTGGAGGTTTGTGGTTCGGTTTTGAGTTTTGTGCAGGGTACCAAGGGAAGGCTTTTTCTGATCGGTTAAAAACCTTTGTGGCGATTTTTTTTCTAACATGCCCGATGGCCCTTGGGCTATGGTGGGGGTTGTCCACGGTCAATCGGTTAGACAACATGTTGGGCATTTCACGGAGACGTGGTTTCGTTCAGCGATGAAGTCTCAAGGTGTCTGTCTGCACGGGGATGCATGGCCGACTGCTCCCTTTGAACATGTGGAGTAGCTCGACGAGAACTTTGTTGTGCGTGTTCGACCGTCATCGCAGCAACTGGTGATGCACCCGTGTCATTTTGCACATGCCCGAAAATCATTTTCTGGTGATGTTCGTAACGTACACCTAAACCATGAATTTGCACAGAGGATGTTGGCTCTAATAATATTCTCGCTACAAGGTGGCCGTGCGTGCGCCAATGTTTAGTCAGGTACGGTGGCGCACGAGTCCGTTATCGTTCACGTTTTTGACGGTGGGTTTGTTGTGTACCGGTTGTCGTGTCATACAGGCACGCCTTCAAGATCGTGCAGATGCCCGCTAACCTGCTTGAGGTCACTGGGCTTGCCACGGCTCCGGCGATGCAGAAGGCTGGTCTGAAGGTGACCCTTCGTGTTCGGTTTTACTCTTCTGTCCCGTAGCCTGGGTGTATTTTAAGCTGTGCTCTCGCGAGCAGTGTTGCACCAGTAAGGACCGTAGGGTGCCATGTGCAGATGGGTATCATGTGATCATATTCGCTTCCAGTGATGGGTATCATGTGATGAGGTGAGGTCAATGCCCCAAGGGCCCGCTACACGGCTGGCCTGTGCATGTGATATCTTCCCTGAGATCCTTTCTATCTCTCGGCCTACCCACGGGTTGATCTAATGCTCATGAGTCGGTGGACGTGTACGATGGAAATAACAGTATGTTCGTCTGTGGCAACTGGACGTATCCGCCGACGCGGTGGAGAGCAGCCAAGATCACTTAACGGCGCGAAATCGATTTCACGTCAGTTGCTGATGCGCACCTCTTTTGCGCGCAGTCGGCCTACCTGCTGTCCTACGGCCGCCCGTTGTCCATGCTCAGGTCATGGCATGCCACCCGCTTCGGGCGGCCACACCGGAAGGCAAGTTCGAGCTAGTGGACGACGCGCTGAGAGGAGGTCTGCCGACGGATTACATGGACGTGTGCAGGTGGGGGGCTCGGCGCACGAGTGTTTTGTGAGATGTTTTCACGTGCTCCCATCTAGAGATCACCGATGAAACCGCTTTGTGACCCCTGGAGGTGACGCTCCTGTAGAAGCTTGTTGGTCTCTATGGGGGACAGGAACACTGGAATTGCGCGCGTGAGGGGGGGGGTCTTAGAAGAGGGATGCTGCTGGTGTTGGGTTGGTTGCGCTTCGCATGCGCCTCTTATGGCTTCCATATCACCGTTTTTCACTTTGGTAATGTTGGGGATCCTTTCTTTGTTCGTGCAAGCGATCTAGAGTTGCCCAACAGTGGTTTTCAGCGTAAGAGCTACGCGAGATTTGACACTCATTTTCTCTTTGCAGCTGCATGTTGTGACAATGGCAGGTACTCTTCCCCAGACCTTCCCTTGCAACACCATTTTCATCGTGTTTATTTCTTGGCGTGACAGGGAGGTGCTGCATCACTTCAACCTAGAGATCCCCGAGGACCGGGAGCCCACAGAAGAAGAGGAAGAAATTAGACAGGTAATTTACAGGAAGTGCACGCAGGTTTGCAATACGGTGCAGCGCCCCGCGCGCTGTGATGCTGCGGGCGCCAGTGTCTATGTCAGCCGAAATCAAACCTACATGGCTAATCTCGCGGTTTGATTTCGGATTCCACGTGTCTCGTACTTGAATTTATCGCGCTTATACTTGTAGCGGAACGCGGAACGCGGAACGCGGTGCTCGTCAGGGTTAGTGCAAACAAGGTGTCCCAACACAACACTCCACAAGGAAAGCCATGGCGCAATGCTCCTAAGATTGTCCGCCACCACCCGCCCCCAAGAACCATATTACTTTCCCACTTGTCCCGGCGGAGACAGACGCGTCACTGCTGTCAGTTTGTTGCTTCACTTTTCGGTGTCGGTGGTCGAACGCTGCGCGGCAGGGGTGTCGTTTCCTTCAGCAGCTGGTGCAGGATATGAACGCGCAGCTCACGACCTTCACCTCCCTGGAACACTACGAGGCGGAGCTAGGGGGAAGCATTACTCCCATGATAGCAGACAAGTTCGAAGCCCTCGACGACGACTCGGCAGATCTGTTACAGGTGAAGGATAATGAACACTTTGGTTGTGTGTTTGTGCGGTCAAAACTTGCTGCTGGTAGGCCTGGAAAGAAGGGCGAGCAATCAGTTAGTCTGTTGCCCCCTGGTGGAATAACTGATGTTTGCGTAAAGGAGGTGCTGGACATTTGGCGGTTAGAGCATTTATGCGCGAAGAAAGCAACAACAAGAATGATCCAAGTGTGCTTCTTGCCTGCAGCGATCCCCCGTGATATACTTAGTATGGGATGAATGGGCTTGCACAATATCACGCGTGTGCATGGAAGAAGGAAGTACGAAGCAAGTCCCAAGCTTGGACTGAATAGGCGGTACCGCCGCCATTTCCCGTGAACTCGCTTTCAGGCCGTGCAAGGTCAGTGGCATGTCCTAAATCGCGCTTCAATCTCCCCCTCGCCTTTTGCCTTCGGCTGTATGACCCACTGCCAGAAATTTTTCGATCGCTACGGTAAAATGGTGCGATACAGCTGCGCGCAGAGGGTGCGAGATATGGCGACGACTGGGGAAGGCTGTCCAAGTGGGGCCCATTTGTTGGCTGATTCGGAGCCCCTCCAAATTTACGCTCTTCGCTGGTTGATGGGTAGCCCGGGGGTAGGCTGCACGGTGGTGGAGATGGAGCAGCCAGAAAAAGTTGCAGAGGGGTTCGCAGCTCTGCGTCAAGATTGACCAACGGTGGACATCTACACTCTTGATGTGTGTTTTTCTACTCTCTGGAGACGTGAAATTGCGGGACTTGACTGGTTTTTGACGGATCAGAAATGGAAAGCGGACGAGCGATTGGTGCAACTGAACAAGTTACATCAAGTTGTAGAAAGAGGCACTCCTGGATGTTAGAGAGATCTCCGGTGGCCACATTTTTAGTGCCGGCACTGCTTTTCTTTCGACAGGGCTGAGTGGTTTCTGTTTCTTGCCTCGATCAAGCCGAAGCCTCCAATATCCTCTCCGTCATATATCAATGAATTGGAACCTGACCCCCCGACACGTTGAGTATTCGTCTTTCTTTTCGCGATGCCGCCGGATGTCGCGACCTCTCTCAGCGTCTGTCAGGCCATGCCAGCCAAGCACGGAGCTCACGAAACACACCCATGTTGCTTCGGTCACACTGCAAATCCGTTATTGTTTGTGCATCGTCAATCTAACATTTACTGATACACAAGTCCTGGCACTGCTGTGCTTCGTCCTTCACACTGCTGTCCTTTTTGGCGCCGTTCTCGGAGTTCGAGGTTAGTCTATCGGGAATTCTACTAGACTAGGTGCCATCGGTGCATGGTGGTGATCGCTGTCGTCGACGGCGTGTTACAATAGGCCGCTTTCTTTCTCCTCTTATAAGTAGTCATTCTCTCGGTGTCACGTTGCTGTAACAGCGGTACTGCCGTAAACAGTAACTCACCGGGGAAACCATGGCGCCGGGATGATGTAGACTAGGCGATCCTACTGTTCAGAACGATGCCCGGCACTTGCGAGTGGAATTTGCACGCTACCGGTGGTTCCCTTCCACCGCGGGAGCGCCTCGCTGACAAGGGGCGCGTGTGTAATTGAGCAGCTGGGCTGCCGGTCTTGCTTTACAGCAGTGCGTTTGCTTGCCGGAAAAAGAGCGATGTGGTGTGTAGTATGTGTGTGTGTTTTCGTCCTAGTAGTCTATTTATTATGGCGACAGTCCCCCCATTTGTCGTGGTGAGACGTGTACTACACTTTTCAGCGTATGTAGAGTACTCGACAGCAGTTTTCAGTGTATTTTTTCGTACAACTACAACCATCCAGGGTCCCACAGGAGGGGGGTAAACACCAGAGGGCTTTTTTCTTCGTTTTATTTCTTTTCATGCCCCACCTTCCTCCTGCGGTGCGTGCTGAGTTTTATTTTTATCGCGAGAAGGGTCCAGCGGTCCCTTTCCCTCGTCAACGGTGCTAACGTCGAAGTTTGGTACTCAGGAGAGCTTGTCAGGTATATCTCGCTTTCACCCGCACATTTCGTGAATTTTTTACTCCACACGAATTCGAACTCACGACCTCTGCGACAAGAGAATCACGAGGATACCACTAGTCTAGACCACCGGGGCGACCGCCTTGTATGGCTTCGCGTGATAATGAACGCTCGCATGCATGCACAGCATCTGACGATATGAGAAGTGAGGCAGCTGAAGGTTGGACGTGCATAGTGTTCGTGCTACCATTCCGCTGCGCACTATCGATCTTGTATGTGGCCCGTTTCTCACGATCAAACATGACAGCCGAACCGTCCAACGTCGGGACTAGACTACTGCTGCACACCTGCCTGGTCGGCGGGAACCCGGCACGGAACCCTCCGGCGTTGTAGGCGGGTGTGGGATCGCGTTCCCCGTTCTCCTTTTATTTTATTTTGATCGGTCTCCTCGACGCTCTTTCTCGTTTGGTGCGGTAGCTGGTCTTTCTATCATTTTGTTTCTCTTCCGAGTGGTTTTTGTACCCTATTTTTTTCTGTTTCTTCGTGGGGTCGTGTATGCCGGGTTTTGAGACCACGGGCTCCCAATCGTTTTTTTTTTAGAGCTAAGGCTGTTTCTTACAGAACCGGATTCTTGATCTGAAAAATCGATTTTTTCGGCCGGACAATAATCCGGCTGGGAAAAACGTACGACCCTTCTTACAGGAACCGGATTTTAGTCAGCGGATTTTTTGCTGGACTGTCATGTATTTTTGAAATGCAGCGCGCGCGCACGCGCGGGTAAAAAGTGCCAGCACGACATACACGCGCACAGCAGCAGACCTCACGCGGCAGACCACACAACCATTGCACAACATGCCCGATGGAGGTGCATCTGAGCAGCCTGAGGCGCTCTTGCTGAATTACAACCCATTGGCGAAGGCCGCTGTCGCACACTTTGGCGACTGCATCGAGGGCGGCATGACGAAGAAGCAGATAATGTTGCAGCTGCAGAGCGTTTGCGCCACCTACGCTTGCCAGGGAGTGAAGCGGAACGCTGGCTTGACAAACAAGAAGAGTAAACAGAAAGCTGCGACCCACGCTTACAAGACAATCGTGGTTCCCGGTTTTTTGGCTTGGCTGCGGGAGCTCGAAGGCTCTCCTGTACAGCTGCCTCGGTGGTTGACAGAGGAGCTGTTGGGCTGCAGCAACGTGAACGGGAGGGGAAGAGGTAAGCCATGGTACTACTACAGCAGCCTGGGTCCATGCTCCGTTAATGTGGGTCGAAGGAAAAAGGACGCAAGGCTTGTCACCCCCCACACCGCGCGCTCGCTCCTCTCTCTTTCATCTTGAACCCGGTACATGTCGCTTTCGTGCACGTGTCTGTTGTACCTGCTGTTCGGTTGAACGTCACACGCTCGCTCCTCTCTCTTTCATCGTGAACCCGGTACATGTCTCTTTCGTGCACGTGTCTGTTGTCTCTGCTGATCGGTTGAACGTTACGCATGTGCTGCAACAGCAGTGTGCAGCGCCTGTTGGGGTTAACCTTAGCCTGGATGTGTTTTGTGATAATCTCCCCGCGCAGCACCAAAGATAAAGAAAGAACGCGCATGAACGTACTCGTTTGAAATCTAAACAGCAGCGGGTCGAGATGGTAAAGCATGGCACTGCTGTTGTTGTGTTCAGACGGCGCATTTTATCCCGTAAACAGCTGGAAACTCGAGTCTCACACACGAAGTTTCCTCCCCTCGCCCCCAACCCGGTGTGCAGGCGAGCCGAAGTACTACAAGGACGACTCCAAGGTGTGGGCTAGGCACATGGAGGACTACCTGCTCATCAGGCGTGATGTGAACCCAGCTTTCGATGGGTGAGTTTTAAGATAGTGCGAAGGCCCCACGAATCACGTATTTTTCAGGAGCAAAGTTTGTGTTTTAAAATTATTTTATCGTTGGGGATTGAATGCGCCATACGTACCCTGTACTGGTAATTGTTTGCCCGCGTGTTATTTCTCCCAGGTGTTAAGCGGTGCACCACGCATACAGCAGTACGGCGCTGTTCACGCCCAATGTCACGTGAAGCAGACAGAGACGCGAACCTTGCCCGCAAAAGTGACCGCATGTTTTTCTTCGACATGGAGAGCGTGGGACTTCTTGCGTGATGCCGAACAAGTGCTTGCTTGCCCCGTGACGTCTCCCCCGTAATCCGCACATTCCTTTTCCTTCTCTTCTCGTGCGCACCATTCTTGCACCCCTTGGAAATTAGGCTCGAACCTGGACAACCAGCGGGACAGCTCAAGTCCGGGCAGCAGTACAACGACCAGCTCTCTGCACTCTTAGACGAGTTGTGGATCGTCCGCTGCAAGAATTTAGGGAAACCTAAAGATGTTGTCGACCTCGACGAAGAGCGCGATTACCTGCCGGCCCGCTCCTCGCAATCAAGCCCTGCTACCGTCAAGGAGGAGGACGGAGAGCCGGAGCTACCTTGCGGAGGAGGCTTGGAGGGAGAGGGCGCCGACGGCACGCAGGAGGGTGCCGCCGGCGAGCCTGCACCGGGGGAGACGTCGCCCGCGGAAGTGGAGGACACGAAGGATGGTTCATCAGAGGCGGGAGGCGGTGGTGCGGTGGGGGCGGGGAGTGGTGCGGTGGAGGCGGGGAGCGGTGGAGAGGCGGGGACGGGGAGCGACGATTCTTTGGGGCCCGAGCCAGAGGAAGGTTCGCCGGACTACCCGCGATGGCTCGCCCGACAGGGGGCCATCAACGCGAAACAAGCCGCTTCCGATGACGCGGTCAGCTCAAGTGGGGACGGCAACTTGGGATACGGGCCGAGGCCCGCGAACTGGACGCACCCGCTCACCCTAACGTTCTGCTTTTTCGGGAGGCCGGCTGGTGAACACGAAGACACGGAGCTCAACACGTGCGCAGCGAGCTCCGGGCCTCCGTCTCGCGGCAAGAAAAGGAAGGGGGGCAAGGGCAAGGCCAAAGGTCCCGCCAGCGAAGGTGGGGGCAGCGGCGAGGGATCCTCCGGCGAGGGATCCTTGACGGAGAATCCGTTGCACGCAGGCGCTGTGAGGCAGTTTGTGGGGGCCGGGGAAGCGCAGAGCCGAGCAAAGGTGAAGAAGGCTACACAGGAGGTAGAGCTGCGGCAGTCCCGTGATGCAGCGAGGGCTCAGTTTCTGCGGCAGAACACGGAGCAACTGGAAGTGGCGAAGGAGATGCGCGATGCGGTGAAGCGAGTAGCCGACAACACTACCGCTCAGCGCGCGCTGCAGGAAGAGGAGGCCTGCCGCAAGCGTAAGAAGCAGGCCATCGAAGACCTTGAGGGCGATCTACAATACTGCGAAAGCCACGAAGCTAAGGCCATCAAGCTGAAGATTCGGGCTATGCGCAAGATGCCCGTCGGCCAGTTCACCGCTGATTTCGTCTCAGGCGGCATCGACGACCTAGCGGGTCCCTCCGCTCCAGAGGTTACCTCGGACGTACCCGCCTTGCCGGGCTTCTCGCTCAACAGCGAGACACCGGGGCCTGAAGGTGGTGGGGCTACGGCACAGCATCCCCAGGGTTAGGCTTTCTCCGCGGGGAGGTCTACGGTGACAACTTGTTTAGAAAATTTAGCGCGAGAAGCCCGCTTTGTCGTGCGGGGAAACATCCCTGGCGGGCGTATCTGATTCGATGTTTTTTTCGTCGTGTGTTTCAGTTGGCGCTTGGAGGGATCACCCGTCCGTCGTCGGCCGTGTAGGACATGTAACTTTATTTGGCCGGAGCCAAGTTAGCTCTCACAATCATTCCTTTTGAAGTTGTTCGTGCGCAGAGTTTATGTTCGACTTCGGGAGTCAAGCTTGAGGGCGCACGACTATGCAAATGTGTTCTTGTGTGGCTTTCCGAGCTCCTTATGGTAAGCTGGCTAGTCCGGATACGCGGTCAATTGTAGGTGCCTCACCGTTTGGGTGGGGTCTACTTTTTTTCTCCGGGATGGTTTGTAGATTCAGATATTTTCTTGAAACACTTTTTTATTTTTTTCCGGCTTCATTGTTGTGCCGGCGCGAGGCCGAGATGCGCACGTATGTAGCGCCTACACGGATCCCAAATTTGAGCACGTCTAATGAGGG